CGTGCCGACCCCACACGCGGTACGCAGCACGCACCGACAACAACAACAACAACAACCACTAAGTGGCGGTGACGTCACCACGGCGCCTGTGCCAGGTCAGGTGCACTTCGAGGCCACGTGAAGTGTCGAAGGCTCGCTGGACAGGTCACGGGACAGACCCAGCAGGTGCCATGGGTTGACTAAGATTACTGGCAGATGCACCAGCTGTGCTCCCCACTGTGCCAACTTGCTGCATTTTAGTCGCCCGGCGCTCCGCTCGTTGTTGTGAGCGTCGCTTCTCCGCCCTCCGTTGTTGCTGCAGGGCGACTGCCTCCAACTGCCCAGTAGCGTCATGCACGAGCCTCCTCCATAGAGGCCGATCTTGACACCGCTGGTAGCAGTCATCCGGAAGTCCCCTCAGCTGCAGATCCTTCCCTCCCGCATCAGCTCCATCTCTACTACCAGCCCGTGTCGTAGGAGGTGGGGTCCCGATTTCATCCCCTGCACTAGCGCTCAGGTCCTCCCATCCCAGGTGCGGTCCGGCCTCTCCCTCCCTCCCCCTCCCTCCCTCGTCGTCCTCCTCTTAGTGTCGCGTCCTTCTTGTCACACCCCCCCCCCCCGAATCCCACGGGCCCCCACCCAACTGTCCCCCACCACCACCCACCCATCCCAGGTGCGACCGAGACGGCCGTCTGACCATCGCCAACGGCACGGCCACGCGCGACAGCGAGTGCGGGGACCGCAGCCTGGACCCCGCGAGAGAGGACGAGCGGCCTGGTGGGTACAGCGGGCGGGGGAGGGGTGTTAAGGTGGCGAGGAGATGTTAACTACCTCGCCTGGTATTTTTAATTATATTTTACTTTTATTAATTAAATTTTTTTTTTGCCTGCGTGACTTCTTTTTGGGATTTAAAGCTTTCGTGACTGCAGGGATTCATCTTTTTGGTTCTTTCGGTAAAGTCACGTAGAAGGGAAGTAATAAAATAATAAAAATTAAACATAATAAAATATATTATATTATTATATCATATTATTTTATATTATTTTATTATGTTTTATTTTTATTATTTTATTACTTCCCTTCTACGTGACTTTACCGAAAGAACCAAGAAGACTACGTGACTTTACCGAAAAAACCCAAGAATATGAATCCTTGCAGTCACGAAAGCTTCAAATCTAGAATTAATACAGGAGGTCGTCGGTTCGATCCCCGACCCCTGACGCCTGTTGTACACTTGGAGTTTAGCGGTGTCTCTCTCCCCGTAGATTTGTATCCGGTTCCCCCCCCCCGTCCCCCCCGACATTCAGAATCAACGTCACGCGTTTAGAGTCATTTGGCTGCTTTACATTGTTCCGTCAAAGGTCACTCGGTTGAACTATCATTTGTGGTGGCCAGGTCTCTTCTATAAATAGAAGCTAAAAACAAAAACACTTTAAGTGTTTACTCTCAGACGGAACCAGCCAAACATCCGAGTGTACCACCACCACCACCACCACTCTCTCTCCTGAAGAGAGAGAGTGGTGGTGGTGGTGGTGGGAGCCACGGTTTGGGCATTTTCTCCCTCTCACTGAAAACAAACCCCTCCCCCCGTGTCCGTGCGCGGGGAGCACACCGTGCTAACCGCATGAGGAGCGGTGCGCTCACCAACACTGAACCAGTCCTGGGTCTTGCCTAGGTAGACTCGGCCTCAAATGAGCACCTGGTGCGTTGCGTAAACATCACCGCTGCGGAGACAAAGGCGGTCATGCGTGGAGGTTCTGGCTACACCGACCCCTCCGTGTGCCGTGCCGACCTTCGTAGGTGCTACCCGCTCACAGCGCTCGCCCCAACAGTCTGTTGAGGCTGTTGAGGCGAGCGCATTCTGTTCATGCTGCGCGGTGGAGGGCGCGGGGGGAGGATCTTTGTCTGAGATGCCATTCCCATAGCACGTGAATCATTGATGTGTTAGATATTGACGTGTGTGTTGGAGGCCACGCACGCCAGCACGTCGGTGCTATTGCGTGGCGACGACGTGAACTGTGCTCTCTCTCACCGCTGCCAACGCAGCAATAGCAGCGGGTTAGCATCCTCACCGCGGCTTGGCCGCGTCGTCTCTAACCCCCCCACCACCACCCCCCACCACCCCCCACCACCACCCGAGTAGGAGCAGTCGAGGTCGGCCACATGCACTGGATCGTGCCCCTCTCTGTGGCCATCTTCTTCACGGTCATCTTCGCCTGCTGCTTTGATTGCTACAAGCGCAAAGGTCAGAAGCGATGCCAACCGTCCCGCCCCCCCAACCCGTGCCCCCCCCCCCCCCAAGTGCCCCCGCAGGTCACAGCGGGCGTTTATGATCCCGTGACGCCGTTTATCGTGTGTCAATGGGCGCCACGGTGGCTAGGAGATGTTAACTACCTCGCCTGGTGTGCAGGAGGTCGTGTGTTCGATCCCAACCCTGACGCCTGCTGCTGTATATTTGGAGTTTGCGGTTTCTCCCTCTCTCATCATCACGATGGCTATGAGATGTTAACTACCTCTCCTGGTGTGCACGAGGTCGTGGATTCGATCCCGCCCCTGACGCCCACCGTTTATTTGGAGTTTGTGTGTCGTCGTGCGGAGAGGCGCCCCCCCCCCGCCGAAGGGGTTCGCCAAGGTTTCGACGGTGGCACTGGCACCGAGCCTTCCTGCTGGCGGTGGCAGAGAGAAAACAACAATTACCCACAGCTCTGTGGGATTCGACCCTGGGCCCCGCCGGTGACGTGGCCGCGAGACGCTCCGGCTTGAAGGGAACGTCGCGACGGGAGCACCCCGGCCCCCGTGACGTCACGCGCGTCGCTCCGTGACCCTGACACCCTCCCCCCACCCCCCCCCCCCTCCCGGTGTGGCTCCCAACAGAACCCAACAACCGCTTCCAAGCAAACGTCATCCAAGTTGGGAACGGCAACACGGTGGTGCACGGCTAGATGCAGCCCTTGGCGTACCGCTGAGCCGCCTCGCAACACACACACACGGCGGACGGTCGCGCACAGGGCTGAGCGAGGATTCCCTTTGGTTGTAAATTATAAGAAGAATAAAAAGTGTTTTTTTTATTATTGAGAAATGTGCGGGACCGATACATCACGCCGTGACGCACGTGCGCACCGTCAACACAAGCCAAAGCGGTTATGAAAAGCGGGGGGGGGGGGGGGGGATAGATGGGTAACAGGCTTGCTGCCCCAAACTCAAACCTGTCAACCCACACGGTCTACCCTGTATTCTTGTACAGGCAAATTGAGTTTTCAGATCCATCATACTGCGTACAGCCGTTTCAATACGGGCAAAAAAAAGGTATATTTGTTTGTGTTTCTCCCTTGTGATGGGACTTTGGAGGATGATCGTGTAGATTTATAACGGCAGGGGGTAACCAATATGGTCTGAGTTAGTCTGTAATAAGGTCGGCACTGATAAGGGGTTGACAGGTATTTAAGGACGGATGTATATATGTGTGTATATGAAAATGTATATCTATATTTTTTTATTGAAGAATCTTTATTTTAGGCGAATGGGTTGTCCGTGAAGGTTGCCCAGGAACCAGCAGACACAGGATGCAAGGCAGCAACCCCCAGGTAGTTGCCCAAGCTCTGCATTCCTACGTATCATAATGAATTAACAAGCTTGTTTATGGGTGTTGGAGAAAACCCAGTCTTCCCATCTTTCTCGGTACTCCTCCAATTGGTACCAAGACGGTGGTGATCGCATCGCGCGCTTTCAGATGCGTTTCTGCGGCCGTCTGGAACGCCGCTCTGCCTTCTGATATTAGGCAACACTTTTAAATCGAGATTGAAAACTCAATTCTTTCGAGCTGATTGTGTTTATTTCTAATATTGCAGTAATCTAGGCCACCACAGTGGCGAGATGTTAGCCACCTCGCCTGGTATACAGCAGAGGTCGCAATCGGGTACCCGATACCCGTACCCTACCCGATACCCGGCTACCCGTACCCGGCTAAGTACGGGTACCCATTTGAGACCCTGGTGCGGCCGGGTACGGGTACGGGTAAGGAATCAAAATCCGTTTGCGACCTCAGGTATACAGGTCATGGGGTTCGATCCCGACCCTGACGCCTGTATATTTGGAGTTTGCCTGTTCTCCCCTTCGATGAGCGATCATTTGTGGCCAGGTCGCTTCTGTAAAAGAGCTACATACAGTGAGGGATAAAAGTATTTGATCCCCTGCTGATTTTGTACGTTTGCCCACTGACAAAGAAATGATCAGTTTATAATTTTAATGGTAGGTTTATTTGAAGTGAGAGACAGAATAACAACAACAAAATCAAAAATGTTATAAATTGATTTGCATTTTAATGAGGGAAAAAAGTATTTGACCCCCTCTCAATCAGAAAGATTTCTGGCTACCAGGTGTCTTTTATACAGGTAATAAGCTGAGATTAGGAGCACACTCTTAAAGGGAGTGCTCCTAATCTCAGCTTGTTACCTGTATAAAAGACACCTGTTCACAGAAGCAATCAATCAATCAGATTCAACCACCATGGCCAAGACCAAAGATGTCAGGGACAAGATTGTAGACCTACACAAGGCTGGAATGGGCTACAAGACCATCGCCAAGCAGCTTGGTGAGAAGGTGACAACAGTTGGTGCGATTATTCACAAATGGAAGAAATACAAAAGAACTGTCAATCTCCCTCGGCCTGGGGCTCCATGCAAGATCTCACCTCATGGAGTTGCAATGATCATGAGAACGGTGAGGAATTAGCCCAGAACTACACGGGAGGATATTGTCAATGATCTCAAGGCAGCTGGGACCATGTTATTCTGTCTCTCACTGTTCAAATAAACCTACTATTAAAATGATAGGCTGATAATTTCTTTTTCAGTGGGCAAACGTACAAAATCAGCAGGGGATCAAATACGTTTTTCCCCTCACTGTAGCTCAGTGGGACCTTAGCTTGTCAAATGAAACAGTTGTTTAGTGTTAGTTTAGACACGTGTGGAAGGCACCTCCGGATGACTCACGAACAGCAGCAACATCCTCGCGTGTTAGTCCGTTCATATTTGGGGTAGCCCAAAAGTCAGGACACAGAGGGTTGTGCAGGAGATCATCGATTATCCAGCCAGATTTTCAAAAACGCCAGATAATAGCTAGTAATCATTATTTAAAGTAGATTATGTTACCACCACAATCTCGGAAGACTCCACACGGGGTTATGTACGTGCTCCGCTCTTGTCAAAGCACGTTGTTGAAACAATTGCCGGACTGATTCTGCCTTTAAGACCCGTGAATTTCACGCACTTTTCACCAGATACCACTGTATCTATATATTTTTTCACTGTAATTATTAATAATGTAAGATGTACATACGCGCGGTATTTTCATTGTTTAAGTTGTATGCAGTGTCAAATGTGCCGTATTTATTTAACACTGAAATCAAGCAGAGCGACGTTTTACTGTCACGCGACACGGTGCTGCCGATCGCCGGACTGGGTTACAGCCTTTGGAGCGGTTTTGCCGGATCGACCCGGGGACCGCCAGATGTTGGAAGCAGCCGGATACTCAACTGAATTCATTTCAACAAATCACACAGGATTATCGCACTTGTTTTTTTTTTACAAACGTGGGCGTATTGGCGGTACACCGGTGCCTTGTGAAAGAGCGTGACGATGTCGCTGCCTCTTCTTGGTTCTTTCGGTAAAGTCACGTAGAAGGGAAATAATAAAAAAATAAAACATAATAAAATAATTCTCACGTTTCGGCCACAACGCAAGCAGCCGTCCTCAGGTGAAGAACAGGGCTGTCTGAAAGACAGCATCTGGATGGGCACCACCCGGCTTGGCAGCGTATATTTAAGCTGGGTTGGAGGGGGGAAGGGGCGCCTTGACAAATGAATTAGCATATCAAGAGAAATGTAGCATATTTATGGGAAATGCAGATATGGGATTAGTCACTACTTGTGGAATGCGTAGGTGGGGGGGGGGGTTTTCAAAGTCATTATGCCCGTGCATTATGCAATATGCAGGATTAGCAGCATCAAAGGGAGGGAGTAGGGTTAGCAGTAATAGAGGGAAGGAACTTTAATAGTAAGGAGCTGCCCCCCCCCCCCCCCCTCGAGCGAGCTGCAGGACTCTCCATGGGAAGTTGCCACTTGGATTGAACAGCCGCTTTCCCCTTCACTCGAGCACGCGGCGGTGGTGGCAACACCACCACGAGACGTAATCTTGAGCAGCCAAACGTCCGCCAAGGGATCATTCCGGGAATGGATCGAGAGACCGTCCCGACCGAGTCTTGGGCACGAGTCAAATCCTGCTTTTGGAACACCGAGCAGCCAATCGTCGTCAGGCTGGGTGCTGCTGCTGCTGCTAAACGGCAACAGACTGTGAAGCTTCGTGTTCAGCCGCTCACGCATCAAACGTTCCGTCTTCCGACTGCTTCGACATGACTAGAACAAATGTTGAAGCACCACCACCACCAACCCCAGAAAAGTTTTCTTACCGGGTTTTTGAATCGCGTGAAAATAAATTACGATAAAAAAAACATTAGATTATTTTATTTTTGGACCTCGCACTGCCGGTGTAGCGTCAATACGTTCAAATTTCCAAAGATTTCCATGGTTGATGTGAATGCACGATGCGTCAATTCTCTTTTGAAATCAATGTCAGGACTTTTCTTTTCAACCATCACGCGGCGTAATCTTTGAATGTTCGTCAGTTGTTGTTTCCCCCCCTCCCCCCTCCAAATTATGTTTTAAGATGTCTCGATCGCGTTTTGAAAAGACGAAACAATCCATAGGAATGATAATCAAAATATTCAACGGAAAGAATTAACAATTTGAAATATTTTAACGGCCAGTGTTCAAATGAATGGGAATAAACCCCCTCGGTGTCTCGAGTCGTGATTTCTCCTCGACCCGTTCGGTTCCCGTGGCATGACGGGCGCCTTCCCCCCCATAGAGGCTCATCACGTGACGCGGTGATTGTGACCTCGCTGTGACCTCGGTGTGGCCAAGGTGAGACCAACGGCCGTCCTCAAATGTCTCCCGCATCCTCGCGCTGCGGTTGCAGCAAGATCAAGAATATTGGCAGGATAGTGAGCGGGTGGGTGAGCGGGTGGGTGAGCGGGTGGGTGAGTGAGTGAGGTGAGTGGGTGAGGTGAGTGGGTGGGTGAGTGAGGTGAGTGGGTGAGGTGAGTGGGTGGGTGGGTGAGTGGGGTGAGTGGGTGGGTGAGCGGGTGAGTGAGCGGGTGGATGAGCGGGTGGGTGAAGTGAGTGGGTGAGTGAGCGGGTGAGCGGGTGAGTGGGTTGGGTGAGGTGAGTGGGTGAGGTGGGTGGGTGAGCGGGTGAGTGAGCAGGTGAGTGAGCGGGTGGGTGGGTGAGTGAGTGGGTGGGTGAGTGGGTGAGTGAAGTGAGTGGGTGAGTGAGCGGGTGGGCGAGTAGGTAGCGCCTGGGTTTTTTTCGTCACCTCCCGCCAGCGGGTCTTCCAACACTTCACGTGGCCTCAAGGAGCACTTAGAATGGCACGAGCACCGTGTTGCGTCACCGCCACTGAGTGGTGAACGGCGGCTGCTGTTGTTGAGCGAGTGTGGCAGGAGAATAGAAAGAGGGGATGAGCTAAAGGATAGGACGATAGGTGGGTGTCCGAGCGAGCTTTGGAGTTGGTACCATCTCATCTCTCCCACTGCCCCGGTCAATCGGCCCTCCAGGAGGGCGATCCCCCCAATGCAGCCGAGCACAAACAACAACGGAGCTCAAAGCCGTCGGGCAAGAACACGAGCGGCCTTTAAAGGGACAAACATTTAAATCGGGGGCGTTTTTTGGTGCAATAGCCCTCAAAACAGAGACGCCGGTGAAGAGGCAGAGGGGATGGGGCATTATTATGGTTAGGTTTTAAACTCGTTACCCCCCCCCAACCCTTCCCTCCCCCCTCCCACGACGAGGGTGAAGGCGCCACAAGCATTAAAGCGGCCCCAAGGGACCGTCCATAAATGACGTCACGCACCTGGGGGGGGGGGTCAGACATTTGTGACGATGTGTGACGGGGGGGTGTTTGAGAAATATGACATCACATCAAAATGCGCAACTTTAAATAAATATAGACAACACGTTCTACTTAATAAAATAGACTTTTTAATAAATGTTTTCTCCAACATCAGAGTGCAGCGCCACATTAAATAGGCACTAAAATGACAGTAGTTTAAAGCGATTTGAAGCATGTTTTATTTTCAAAATGGAAATATGGTTTGGGGGGGGGTGCAGAGCTTTGTGACGTCATATTTGAGGGGGGGTCTGACTTTTTGTGACGCCGTGTGACGAGGGGGGGGGAGGTCAAAAATCGTCCAAAATCGCGTGACGTCATTTATGGACGACCCCCAACCGGCGCTGTCAACAATTGTCCAAGCGGGCGCTGCCTTGATTTTACCCGTGTCAAAATGAAAGCCCTTGCAATGTTTGCCCTCTGCTGCTTTCATGAGAACCCGAACACAGCCCAACGGACACAGCAGGAGGTCGGCACGTCGCTTGAGTCCGGTGTCTGTGTGCTGATTATTCACTGGCCACTCCAGGAACTCAATCAAGGCCAACTCGACATAGCGGAGGGTCCAGGATCCGGTAACATGTCGCTGTTCAGCGCCAAAGTCAAGCTACAACACCAAATCCAACTGGGGGTGGCTGGGTTTGTGGTTGAGTGGTTGAACTACAAAGCCATTACAGTCACCCTGTGCCCCCCCCCACAACACAAAGCTGTACCCCCCACAAGACACCCTGTGCCCCCCCCACCCTATACCACATAGAAGCACCGTGCCCCCCACAACACACCACACACAGGCGGCCCCATGTCCCAGAACCCATTAAAATCTAGCTCCGAAAATAATGGGTCACGCGAGGCTGCCCGAGCGAGAGGCCTTCACGCCACCAGCGGCTGCTTGGCCTCGAGCACGTCAGGAGGAGCAAGCCGGGCCCGGGTCGACGGGGCCCGGGTACTTGGTGCGGTGCGTCAACATCGTCATGCAGGAGTCGAGGTGCAACGAGACGTTGGCTTTTGCCTGCTGGCTAATGACCAATACGAAACCACCATCGCGGGTGTGTAGACCCGCAGATTATTAGCATTGCACTGGTTTAACATAAAAAAAATCCTCGCCCAGTCTCCTTTTCCTAGGATCAGCAGGCAGTGAGTCTTGCTGTGTCATCGACCAATTGGTGGTTTCCCCGCATTGGGAAGTTGACTGGTTACATGGCACGCGCGTGTCTGCGTGTGTGAGGAGCGGAAACGCAGTGGTTAGCGCATTGCGCGACAAACCCAGTGACTAGGGTTCGATTCCCGCTCAAGGACATCATCGATTATATCTAAACCAGTTCTGGGCCTGCCCTAGGTCGACTCGGCCTTAAATAAGTACCTGGTGCAGTGTGTTAATTATCAGCACTGGTTATACAAAGGCGGCCGGGCGCAGTGCTGGCCGCCCACCCCATGTGTATGCTGTGCCGGCCTTAATAGGTGATGTTTGCTAACAAAACTTGTCCCAACAGTTTGTTAAGGCTAAACGGGGGATGTTTGTATTTAGAGCGAGAGTGTCACAGTTGGTGCGCTGGCCAACAGCAGTAACAATTATCTGAACCGGTCCTGGGCATCCCCTAGGTCTACTCGGCCTCAAATGAGTACTTGGCATGGTGTGTAAACACCGCCATGTAGGAGACAAAGGTGGTCAGGCGTGGTGCTGGCCATCCAACCCCTCATGTGCCCTGTCGGCCTTCATAGGCTCTTCCAACTAACAGCTCTTTCCCCAACAGTCTGTCATCCGTTCGGAACAGGGTCCCGAACGGACAGGGCGACGAGGCGGTGGAGGAGAGACCTCCTTCGAGACCTCCATGCACCGCCGTCACGGGAGGGATAAGGGGACTGCAGCAGCAGCAGCGAACTCTCATCATGAACGGAACAGGAACGCACGCTACTCACACAGAGAGATCCTGCCACAGTCAAGAGCGAGAAGAATTCAAGGCACCATCGGTTGCATGGTCTTGAGCAAATCAGGAGGAGAATCGGCAACAACAGCATCAGCTGATGCTGCTGTTGCTGATGATAACGAGAGCATTTTCGGTTTCACTTCTTCACAGTCCGGGCCCTCCTCCTCTTGCTCCTTCTGCTGCTCTCCCGGCCGCCCGCTGCTGCCTTGGTCCATCACCCGCCTACGCTTGCGCACTCGCAGGCCGCTCTTCGCGTCCGGCTCCAGGGGCACTGAACGGTGAGAAAGTTTCGGGTTGCTCAACCTGCTGTCGTTGAGGAGGGGCATCCGCTCACAGCGCGAATCCATCTCGTGCTGGCAGGTCTTTATGACGTTATCAGCATCTGACTCGCTCACGCAGAGACCGTGGGCCATGGCGGCCACCCTGGCTTCAATCACTTGTTCCAGCTCCACCATGGAGAGGCCCGGCTCCGTAGGTCGGTGGTCCACAAGCCGGCCCAGCAGCGCCACGGTGAGGGGGCCTGATGGTCGAAGCCTTCGCCACCAGTCGGACTCGACGTTTACGGACGAACACGATGCAGAGTCGACGGGGCCCGGGTCGACGGGGCCCGGGTCGACAGGGCTTGGGTTGCTCCTGATGTGCTCGAGGCAATGCAGCCGCTGGTGGCGTGAATTCTTCTCTCTCATGCAGGCCCGCATGATGCTGCGAGCGTTCTCATTGGTCACGCCGAGGTGGCGGGCCACGGTGGCATTCTTGGCCCTCATCACGCGCCTCAGCTCGTTCATGGAGAGGCCCGGCTCTGTGGTTCGGCGGTCCACAAGCCGGTCCAGCAGCGCCACCAAGGGAGGGGGCCGGTTGTCCTTGACGTCTATGGACGAACGCGACGTGGGGACGCCCGGGTCGACGGGGCCTGGGTCGACGGGGCCCGGGTCGACGGGGCCCGGTTTGACAGGGCCCGGGTTGCTCCTCCTGACGTGGCCAAGGTGAAGCAGCTGCTGGCAGCGTGACTCCCTCTCGCGCTGGCAGGCTCGCACGATGGGGAGAGCGTCCTGTGTGCTCACGCCGAGGCCGCGGCCCACGGCAGCCGGCCCGGCCTCCGTCACGCGCTCCAGCTGCTCCGTGGAGAGGCCCAGCTCCGCGGTCAGGACGCCCGCGAGCTGACCCAGCAGCGCCGCGTCGAGGGTGGCCGACGGCCGAAGCTCCGGCCGGCGGTCGCCCACGGCGGGGCCCGGGTCGACGACGGGCGGAGGGTGGGGGGAGCGGCCGTCCGTGACGTCGTCGTCGGCGGCAACCTCCCGGGAGCAGTCCCCGCGGAGTTGGCGGTCGTGGTCCTCGGCGCGGCGGTACAGGGCGACGAAGGAGTGGACGTCTCGGAGCTGCTGGCGGCTGTCCAGGACGCGGCCGCATGCCCCGGACACGAGTTCGGCGGCCTCCTCGCCGCCCAGCCAGCGTGCGAGCACCGCCGGTTGCTCCTCCGCCACCGCCTGGGTCCGAACACAAAGATCCCCCCGTGTAGGCTTTAGCAGGCTATTGAGGCGAGTGCACTTTGCAAGTTACACACCAAAACCAGAGATAGACAAGCAAGCAGCATGCGCACGGCACGCATACAAGGCACACACGTAGCACGCACAGGACACACAGCACATATGGGACACAAAACGCACACATACGTAGTACATGCACACATAGCACGAACAGGACACACACAAAGCACATAGGGACGCACACAACACGCACAGACATAGTACACACATACACAGCGTGCGCACACATCAGTCAAAACACACACAATGGATGCACGCATACACATAACATAACAACCTTTGTTCACCAATAAGTGGTGGTGACATCACCACGGCACATGTGCCTTGTTAGGTGATAACTGTCTGCACTTTAGCCACCTGGTGCTCTGTTCATTGTTGTGAGCATTGCTCCTCTGCCCTCTGTTGTTGCTGGAGGGTGACTGCCTCCAACTCCCCCACAGCATCGTTCCCGAACCTCCTTCACAGAGGCCGATCTTGACACCGGGCCCTAATCTAAAACCGAGGCGATCTCCATCAGCGTGCGTGGGTGAGCACGTACGCGCAGCTGCAAGTCGGATAGGTTGATGATGAGTCCGAGGTCCCTGTGCAGCATCCGGGCCACCTCTTCGCTCTGGGATAGCGGCCTCCCATCCGTCTCCACCTCGTCGTCCACACCTGCAGGGGTCACAGGGGGGTAACAAAGGTTGTTTTTTTTACTTATAAAGTTGCCGAGTGCAAGTCCAAGGCCTATAATGTCAAATGGCCAGCGCCACACATAAACACCATGACATTTTTCAATAGGTAAGAGTTAATGGCTCTATTAAATCGGGCAAGGTTATTGGTCATGTAAACTATGGAGGGAAAAAAAGAGACGATGGGGGAGGGAATTCCAGAGTGGAGCAGGGCGATCGAGAAAGCGTTAAGAGAAGTGTATTGTGGCGAGTGGGTGAGTGCATGAGCGAGTGGGTGAGTGTGTAGTTGTGACCTGCAGTGTGGCAGTGCTTGTGTTGTTTTTGTGGTTGATGTGGTTCAGGAGGCGGGTCCCATCGTTTCACCAGCTCTGCGTGATGCGTCGTGCCCTCTGTGCGCTATAATTGTGTTATTGCTGCTGCTACTCACGGGGCTGGTCCCATCGCTCTCCCGGCTGCAACAGCATGAGGCGCGAGTTCTTGTCCAGCAGCTGCAGGTAGTCATCATCATCGACGATGGTGCCATCCTCCTCCAGCACCACCTCCACCTTGTCCGGAGCCGCATTCAGAGACAGCTTCACGCAGCCTTGTGGGGAGACACACAACAATTGGCGGTCGCCACTAAGTGACAGTGACATCACCGTGGTGCTTGTGTCAGGCCGGGCGCACCTTGAGACCAACTTATGTCTCAAAGGCTCACTGATAGGTCATGGTACAGACCTAGGTGTCACGGGTTGACCGAGATGACAAGCAGATGCTCCACCTGTGCCAGCTTGCTGAATGGCGACTACCTCCAACTGTCCAGTAGCCTCAAAAGGTGCACTTAGCGTGCCACTGCCAGGCTGTAAAAAGCGAACAATGTTGGTAACCCAGTTCACTATTGCAAAACGAGGCTATCCTGGCCTCTGAAGAGCTCTCACCTTGGTTAAACTGTAACGCTGCTTACAGATAAGTTGATAATGAATCACTGAACAGACTAAACTCACTTTATCACTCCGCTCTTTAATTTGCACTGCATGTACCATACAGGACCCACCATTGACCTCTACTTAAAAAACTAGAAGAAATCTATTTTGGGTCCTGTTCATCAGTAAAATCCTTATTGGCAAATCTGCGCTGCACTTAGCTATAATTCGTTAATCCCATTGTCAAACTCAAGAAACCTAATATCTATAATGGCTTTTAACTATCCCAAGAAAGAGAATTGAAATAGGTGACAAAGCCTTTGCCGTTGCAGCGCCAACGATTGGAACAACCTCGTTTCCTCCCTTAACATCTTAAATCTTCTATCAAAAAATATTCTGAAGCAGAAAATTACTGCTGGACACAGGCATAATTGCGAATGTGATTTGTTCAATTAAATGTGCAATTTTATTGAGGGACTGTGTATTGTCTTGGTGTGGTCTGGGGCTGTTGTTGTCTTGCCCAAGCTTGCATTTGATGTTGAGAAATCGGCAGTAATTGATGCAATTTGTACTTATATATTTGTTTTAGATTTAGTGACTTGCTTAGCTTTCCAATAATTTGCTTCATAGCTCATCGGATTCTTCCAGTCTAAATAAATTGCAGTTATTCTGATTACACAGCAATCAGCTGATAATGTATTTAACAAAACTAACACTACCCAAATAACCAAATTTGCTAAACTACCTAAAAATGAACATTTTATAAACAAAACGGTTATCAACATGACTAACTTTTGATTTAAGGCTTTCGTGACTGCAGGGATTAATATTCTTGGTTCTTTCGGTAAAGTCACGTAGAAGGGAAATAATAAAATAATATAAATAACTTTCTATATATTTATATTATTTTATTATTTCCGAAAGAAACATGACTAACGTTGAATTATCCAGCGATATGGTTTCAGTCCTGTCTAAAGGTCTTAACTTTGCTGTTGCCCCACGTACAATCCCTGTCGATGAGATCATTGCTGAAGTAGAATCAGCAGTTAGACACCTCCCCCACAACAGAGGTCGCAAACGGGTTTTGATTCCTTACCCGTACCCAGCCGCACCAGGGTCGCAAACGGGTACCCGTACCCGGCCGTACCCGTACCCTACCCGATACCCGGCCGGGTACGGGTAGGGTAAGGGTATCGGGTACCTGATTGCGACCTCTGGGATGAAGCCATGTTGCAGGCGCGGGTGGGTTGATTCTAGGAACTTGAATTGTGAGAAGAGACAAGACGTTGGGAAATGAGTGACAAACGGTGACTCACCAGTGACTCACGGCCTACCCGTACCCGGCCGCACCAGGGTCACAAACGGGTACCCGTACCCAGCCGGGTATCGGGTAGGGTACGGGTATCGGGTACCCGGTTGTGACCTCTGCCCCACAAACAAGCTGAGATGACAAGGCACGAGGTTGCCAAAATTATTGAGAACAGCAAATTGCCAAAAACAAATATTAACTTCAGTGAAGCAAAAGCCTCAGGATAATTGAAAGCAAATAAAGATATCCAAATACTTGCTGCTGATGAGGGCCGATCGACTGTTGTGACGCCCCCGTGAGGGCTATGATAATAAAATCAAAGATTTACTCGATGAGGGTGCCTACCGTTAAATTTAACGAGACACAACCAGCACCTTGGAACGAAAAAAAACGGCAATCATTGCCAAGTCATCAATTCCCAACGAAGAGCAATACCTGATCAAACCAAGGCCATCAAAGCCACCAAGACTTTATGGGCTACCAAAAATTCACAAACCTGATGGGTCATTAAGACTGATAGTTAGTACAATAGGCTCTGCCACGTACAAATTGGCACAATACGTAACGAAACAAATACAGCCCTACATCGATAGGAACTCTTAGTTCATCAAAATCTCTGAACATCTCGTAAATAAAATTTAAGATATCAAGCTTAACCGTGATTTCTCTGTTCATGAGGGTTCTGGTCAACGAGTCAATTAAATTACTCGACACTGGTAACGAACAAAGGTTTAGCCAAAGATTTCCCAATACTAGCTCAACACTGTCTAAAGCACACCTACTTCTTGTGGAAAGGTGGGCTCTCCTCTTTTGTCTCCTGTGATAGCGAATTTGTACATGGAAGATTTGAAACAAAAGTAAAGCTTCAAGCACACTAAAACCATCTGCTTGGTTTAGATATGTGGATGACACATTGGTGGTCTGGCCACACGGCAAATATGCACTGAACACATTTTTAAATGATCTCAACTCGCAAAACCCATCCATCCAGTTCACCAAGGAAGTGGAAGCTGACTTTCTGCTCGGACGGGGTCGAAATGATAAAATAACTCGGTGTTTACCAAAAGAAAACGCATACAGATGCCTATCTGAATGCAGAGTCACACCATCACCCCCCACAGAAATCTGCTCTCATCAGGACGCTCATTAATCAAGCTAAGAAAATGTCAGATGGTGACAGTCTGAGAAGTGAAATTCAACATGTTAAAGAATCGCTGCAAATGAACGGTTACAATGATGCACAAATCGACAATGCCAAAACCAAATCAAATAATACGAGCATCGAAACTCATAAACAACCAAGATGTTTGGAAAAACAAAACATAAAATACAGAAATTAATATCTGGGACATAGGATGTATTACCGAAGCTATCAACAGGTGGTCTGTAAAGGATTCACTGCAGTGTAGAAAATGTTATGTTGGGTAAACAGGACGATGATCAGCACGAGACTAAAAGAGCATTACAGAAATATTAAATTCTCCCAAATGCAACTGTCAGCAGTAGCAGAAAAACGCGTGCAAACAAGGACACTCAATTGATTATTATAATGTTGAAGTTGTATGCAAAACTAGCTACTACTGGCCAAGACTAATTAGAGAATCTATCTAAATTGAAATAAAAATAATTTTAACCGTTCAGACAGCTACGAATCATCAAATAACACATTATTTAAATGCACGCCTTTAAAGGGCAGCATCCTTAAATAGGGATTACCGTTGGTACGGCTACTTTAATACACACAATAGACAGGAAGGACAAGATCAAAGGGCTCGCATAATGCAGTCAGTACGTTGACTCAGTAATCCTCTCCCCCCCCACTTTGCGCAAGAGCGCAGAAGCGTGGTCACCACATCTACGCCTCTATATAAGGAACAAATATGGCTGTCGCCTGATGAAGCTAGTTGTAATTACTGGCGAAACGTCGTACTCAGATTGTAAATTTAACACGGAGGCTTTTGCGACCAATATTATTCATAATATAGGTTTTTGGGTCAGATCGCGTTATTTATAAATGTGTCGTAACCCTCCACCACCCGACACGGCCAAACAGTAAAAATGTGTCACGTTTTTCAAGTTGAATTATTTTGTCCTTTGAAAAACGTGCCACATATTTTACTGTTTGGCCGTGTCGGGTGGTGGAGGGTTACGACACATTTATAAATAATGCGATCTGACCCAAAAACCGATATTATGAATCAGATTGTAAATGTTGTGGCTTGGTTCTCCAACACACCGGTTAGTGCTGCACTAGTGACGAATGGGCATGTCGCGTTTCCTTTATATTACATGCTTTTTATTAACTCAATCTATCTGTTGTCGTTGTTGTATCCTCAAATCTTGTAACTCAATTTTATCCCACTTCCCAATGTGGTATCGACTGCCAACTTGGTATACTTATGTCATACTGATAACAATACTATATTCTATCATAAAAAATGTATATATTTTGAAACATTTTTTATATGTTATGTTTCGGCTTGGGTCTAATTGTCCACGGTCAACTGACGTTGGCTGTAAATCACCACGGCCCCTTACGTTGTGGCAAGCTTCGGGGCCACTTCCTGGAGGTGTGGAGTTCTGCCATTACTAGTACATTTCATAAAAGCGTGTTTTTTAAAATATTACTTATTTAAATGTAAAAAATTAACCCGTAAAAACAAAGTTTTTCACTATACATCCTTTATATGCGTGGCGGCTAGAGTCCTCTCGTCCTCTGGCTTGAGATGGCTGCCACCTATGGGTCAGATGATTGCCTGCCACCATTAAGAAATTGGTAATTAAATATAAAAAAAATTTACCTAAAAAGTGTAAAATTTTGGAAAAAAATTTTCACGAAAAGAAATTGTCACGCACAACGAGTCTGTGTGCAAAATGTCAGCTCAATTGGATCACGGGAAGTGGGTTAAAAAACGACCGAAAGATTTGCACGATCATAAGCGCGCAAGCAAGCAAGCGAACTTAATATAAAGGATTTTAAAAAGCGATGCACGTGGTAATGCTGACAAGGCATGGAACCCCGGCGGAGGAGGGGGTGCGCTATTTTTTTTATTTCACAATCAGAATATTTATTAACGCTGGAGGAATCCGATGAGCTATGACGCTCTTTTTGTTTACAGGTGTCCAGCAGGGGCGGGTCGACAAGTTACAATGACAAACCAATATAAAAAGACGAGTGGAGTGCAAAGTGTAGGAAAGGTAAATAAATCACTCGAAATATTTATTTACAAATAAAATTGAACTAAACTATTTATTGTATCTTACCAGGTGAAGCCCACTGAGCTATTAGATTATTGTGTTTTTTTAGACGACCTGGCCACAAATTACACTGGTCAGCTGTTTTAGACCAATTTCAGGGTGCTGATTCCAAAT